CGGGTGTACGTGGGGTGAGAGGGGCCAGAGCCCCCCGAGCATCCCGCCCGAGCCCCACCTCACCTGCCTCGACGCGGGGTTTGCTCTGATGCAGCGGAGCAGCTCTGGAGGGAGCTGTTCCCTGCTTTAAACGCAGCTCCCACTTTGGCTTCCCTGGAGCTTGTGGGGGGATGATGCTTCTCCCTGTCCTCTGGGCAGCCCAGTCTGAGGTTTATAGGAAAATCCAGGTAGGTTCTTGGCATGAGGTGTCTCTGATAAAATGATTTCTCCTTGTGCTTGCCAGGCACTCGTAATAATTCCATGTAGATGAGAGCAGACATGCATAAGAATTAGAGAGCCAGTGATCTGGGGTGGGATGGGTGTTTACTGGTTGCTGTTGGATAGGTTTGAGTGGATGAAGTAATATTTAATTCCCTGTAAATGGAAAACCTACATAATTGCATAGGGCAGGGATTAAGAAAGTACAAAGGATCGTGGAATCCCAGCCTGGTTTGGGTTGAAGGGACCTTAAAGCTCATCCAGTTCCATCCCCCTGCCACGGGCAGGGACACCTTCCACTAGAGCAGGTTGCTCCAAGCCCCTGTGTCCAACCTGGCCTTGAACACTGCCAGGGATGGGGCAGCCACAGCTTCTCTGGGCACCCTGTGCCAGCGCCTCAGCACCCTCACAGGGAAGAGCTTCTGCCCAAGAGCTCATCTCAATGTCCCCTCTGGCAGGTTAAAGCCATTCCCCTTGTCCTGTCCCTCCATCCCTTGTCCAAAGCCCGTCTACAGGTTTCCTGCAGCCCCTTTAGGCACTGGAGCTGCTCTGAGGTCTCCCCTTCAGGAGCCTTCTTAATCCCAGCCCAGCTCTCCCAGCCTGGCTCCAGAGCAGAGCTGCTCCAGCCCTCTAAGTATTTAGGCAAAACACTTTCCTACTTCTGATGTGGCTGTCCTGGAGCAGTTCTTGCAGTGGTTCTCCCTGGTGGCATCTGTCCCCAGAGCTCCAGGATCAGCATTATACCTAGAGAAGGTCAGAAGAGAGCAGCATTGGACTTAATATGGGATCCTGGGAGAAGAAAGTTTGTACATGAAGCAGGTGATGGATTTTTTTAAGGAGAAACTGCAGCAATTTACTTGTTCCTGTTGGATGCTGTGTTGTGGGGAGGGTTGGAACCACAATTGGCGTGGTTGGGCTTTTCTCCCATGGGTCAGTTGTCTCCTGGATTCCTGTGGCAAGCTAAATAGGTTGTAGAGCTGATGCATCTTGCTTGGGGACTGCCTCAGAAGTGATCACTTGTGGTTTGGGAAGGTACCATGAAAGACTTCTGCAAGCAACTTTGCTCCAGCTCAGAGGTGAGTAAGGTGCTTGTCATGAGGCCTTACAGCAAGGCAAGACATAAAGATGAGGTCTAGAAGTGAAGCTTGTGAAGGTAAATCCTCTCACAAAGGGATTACTGAAAGCTCAAGTAAGAGTCACAGTGATAACCTGAAGAAAAAGAGCCAAGCCTGTTGTGACAGGGACTGGTGGCCGTGTCCTCCCAGCCAGCTATAGGTCAAGGCTTTCTATATCATGCAGGGTGTCCAGTTGCCTGGAATATATTTGGCAGTGACTGGATATTCCTGTTACTAATATAGAAATGTATGTGAGGAACTGTTCTGACGTGGTTCAGATGGGCAAATGTCCCTTCTACTCCAGACAGACACTGGAGTCTGTTGGAGGGGGTGAAACCACATACCCCAACTCAGCTTTAACAGCCTGAAGCTACAACCTGAACATACAGCTTGAGAGGGGAGGGTGTGAGGTTGGCTGTGCAAGGTGTGTGCTGTGCTGGATGGGATGATTGGATTTGCCAAGGAATGGGTGTGGGACGAGGATCTCTGGGAACAGCACTCCACACAGAAGCATGGCACACTGTGCCAATGCCAGAATACTCCATAGACTTCTTCAGTGGGGGAAGCTCCACTGGAGTGAGTTCTGCTTTGTGTGAGTCCTTCGTAGTGAAGCTCTTGTGCCTTCACAAGGAATGGGTGACTGGCTTTCTAAAAATGGGAGCTACAAGTGTTTTAGCTTGAGACACTTGCCAGGAAAATGATACGCACAGACTCTAGCAGAGAAGAGCTGCACTCAGGCTGCACAAATAAGCTGATTCTTCTGGCAGTCTTGTTTGCTGAGTCCAGCTTTGGACAGATTTAAACTAAAGCTGAAATATGCTGCTTGATATTATTTGGCAAAAAGGTGCAAAGGGCTTGTACAGAGCTCAAGGAAACTCCCCACCCTGGGTCCAGCTCTGGGGCAACAGCACAAGAGGGATGTGGAGCTGTTGGAGTGGGTCCAGAGGAGGCCCCGGAGCTGCTGCGAGGGCTGGAGCAGCTCTGCTCTGGAGCCAGGCTGAGAGAGCTGGGCTGGGGCAGCTGGAGAAGAGAAGGCTCCTGAAGGGGACACCTTAGAGCAGCTCCAGGGCCTAAAGGGGCTCCAGGAAACCTGGAGACGGGCTTTGGACAAGGGATGAAGGGACAGGACAAGGGGAATGGCTTTAACCTGCCAGAGGGGAGATTGGGATGAGCTCTGAGGCAGAAGCTCTTCCCTGTGAGGGTGCTGAGGTGCTGGCACAGGGTGCCCAGAGAAGCTGTGGCTGCCCCATCCCTGGCAGTGTTCAAGGCCAGGTTGGACACAGGGGCTTGGAGCAACCTGCTCCAGTGGAAGGTGTCCCTGCCCGGGGCAGGGGTTTCCCCGCCCGTGGCAGGCGTTGGAACTGGGTGAGCTTTAAGCTCCCTTCCAACACAAACCAGACTGGGATTCCATGAAAAGAGCCTTTTCTGCCCTGGCTTGCTGTTTGCATCTGGTTTTCCTGGTCTGTGTTGCCCAGAGCTTGTGTTTGATGGTCTGAGCAGTGCTGGTTGCTTTAGTAACGCCTTATCCGTTGCAGGAATGATGCAGTTGTGATCTCGGGCAGGAAGCTGGCCCGGCAGATCCGGCAGGAAGCCCGTCACGAGGTCGAGCAGTGGGTAGCAGCCGGAAACAAGAGACCTCACCTCAGCGTCGTCCTCGTGGGTGAGAATCCAGCCAGTCACTCCTACGTGCTGAACAAAACCAAAGCGGCTGCTGACGTTGGTATGTCTGTGCTCTGCTCTGCAAAAGTGGGGCTACTCACTGGTTTATCTCACTTTAGTTGGGAGCTGGGTGCTGGGAGAAGCTTTTTGGGATCTCTCCATCTGGCAGCTTTCCACCTCTGCTCTGTGGCAGTCTGTTTGACCCAGCATTTGCTTTGACTCTTCTGGCTGCCTTCTTTGTACCGGGATGGAGTTAGCAAACACAGTTCACACGTGCATTGTGCCATTTGGGCTCTCTGGGGCAACATAATGATCTGTAGTTTGGATTTGCAGTTGTCCTATGGCCATATAAAGCAAGGCTCAGATTTGCTTTCTTTCCACAGCTGCCTGAGATGCAGTTGTCATTCAGCAGCCTTGACACCCTCTGACTCCTTCCAGTCTTGCAAGCTGAGGTCCTGCTTGGTGTTGAGCCAAATGTGCTTGTGGAGAAAACATTCTGAAAGGGGTTAGGGCAAGAAATGGTTTATTTTTCCCTTTGGTTCTGTGCTGCTGAAGTCTTATGGAGCTGAGCCTTTTGAGGCTAACATCTCCCTCCTGCTGTGTCCAGAGGGACCACAGGATGTGTGGCTGCACCTTCATCATAGCACTCTTTGCTGAGGCTGAAGTCCTGCCTGCACTCCAAGGGTCTCTGCTCTCAGATAGTCCTTCCCCCATCATTAGACCAACACTAACTGTCCTTACCCATAACTCACAAGACTTGTCAAGATCTCCAGCCTGGAAGGTGCTTGTTGTTACCCAAAGCATACAGTCCTTGGTGTATAGAGCAGGGAAACTGGGCAGCTTAAACCACATGGATTAAGGAAGTTGCAATCCCACGTGTGCACAAGTGGTTCCCTAACATGGTGCTTCTGGTTGCACAGGTATCAGCAGTGAAACCATCCTCAGGCCAGCTTCCATTACTGAAGAGGAGCTCCTGGATTTGATCAGCAAACTCAATAACGATGCCAATGTGGATGGTCTGTTAGTGCAGCTTCCTTTACCTGGTGAGTAGCTACACTTCCACCCATTCCCTTTTTACACAAAGCTTTTAAGACATTGTATGTGCCAGGAGTAGCAAGCAGCACAGGGGCTATCCTGTGCCAGGAGGGGTAGCATCCTGCCATGATGTAGCTTAAAGAAGTTGATGCAGCTACTCCCTCACATGAGTTAATCTGCTGAGGGCCACAGACATCTATTCTTGTGTAGGGGGTGTCAGCTTCCAGAGTCAGAAGCTTGAGGCTGCCTAAAAATACCCTCTCAGCATTAGCAATGAGATCTCAAAGTGGTTCCAGTCCCCTTCTGCTGGGAGCTGTAGCCTTGTGCTTGCTGGAAGTTTTGAGCAGCTTCAAGTCTCCAAACTGAAGGGGCTGGTGCAGCAGGTCAGGGCACTGGCTGACTGCAAAAAGCAGCTTTTGGGCTCATCCCTAGGCTTCAAGCTTCTTGTTTTCTTGCAGAGCATATTGATGAACGCAAGATTTGCAACGCTGTGAGTCCAGACAAAGATGTTGATGGCTTCCACGTGATAAACGTGGGGCGCATGTGCCTTGACCAGTACTCCATGCTGCCAGCTACCCCCTGGGGGGTGTGGGAGATCATTAAGAGAACTGGTAAGTTGCTACTGCTGCAGTATTTAGGTGCTGTGTGGCATAACTCCAGCTTGTCTTTGTTTTAAGGCTCCACTTTCTCCTTTGCAGGCATCCCAACGCTGGGGAAGAACGTGGTGGTGGCTGGCAGGTCGAAGAATGTGGGCATGCCCATTGCCATGTTGCTGCATACAGATGGCAGGCACGAGCGCCCAGGAGGTAGAAGCTTGGTGGTCTTGAAGCCCATGTGCGAGGCAGCTGCAGAAGGAAACCTTCTGCCTGTCACACTTGTCCTCTTGAGGCTCTGAAAGTGGTCCCAGGGACGCTTTAGGGACTCTGGCCCATCCACGGGCTGTGGTCAAGGCTGAGGAGTTAACTCTGTGCATAGTCATAGAATCCTAGAATGGTTTGAGTTGCAAGAGCCCTTAAAGCTCATCCAGCTCCAGCCCCTGCCATGGGCAGGGACACCTTCCACTAGAGCAGGTTGCTCCAAGCCCCTGTGTCCAACCTGGCCTTGAACACTGCCAGGGATGGGGCAGCCACAGCTTCTCTGGGCACCCTGTGCCAGCGCCTCAGCACCCTCACAGGGAAGAGCTTCTGCCTCAGAGCTCATCTCAATCTCCCCTCTGGCAGGTTCAAGCCATTTCTCCTTGTCCCAAGCCCCTCTCCAGGTTTCCTGGAGCCCCTTTAGGCACTGGGAGCTGCACTAAGGTCTCCGCTTAAGGAGCCTTCTCTTCTCCAGCTGAACCAGCCCAGCTCTCTCAGCCTGTAGGTCTTGTAATGTTTCAGAGCCTTCTTCAGTGAGTCCTTGTCCTCTTCCATTCCACATCCCTCCCTCTGACTTTGGAGGCTGTTCCCTGGGGAACAGCCCATTCCATTAGGCTCTGATGTTCCTGATAAACACAGGTGTGTCTCAAAGGGGAAGATCTAGAGATGTGGCTTGGTTTGGGCGTTATGTGTGAATTAAAGCTCCATGTATCCACTCCTTTGCAGGTGATGCCACAGTCACGATATCCCACCGCTACACTCCCAAGGAGCAGCTGAAGCAGCACACGATCCGTGCTGATATTGTGGTAGCAGCAGCAGGTAAGACCTGTCTCTAACAGCACAGACAACATGCACTGCAGCTTGGCTGTATTTCCATTGTTTCCAATGGGAATCTTTGCATGCAGGAGACAATTCCCTTGGTATTCAGTGTCCTGGGGCCTCCCTGTCTGATTCTGCCCTGGCAGCATAGGAGAGTCTGGTGCTCTCCTGGCCGTCTGCAGCTGCTGAGGGCGAGGACAGAGAGTGAAGGGCTCTTTGGGCCAGTCAGTTGCTCCAGGGTTTCACTACAGGATTCACACACTTGTTCTCATAAGCAGAGCTGCTTGGAGCCTTTGAACTGCAAAATAACATCCGGCAGGAGGGCTTTGGTGTGCCAACACCTGATCAGATCTAGAGAACAGCTACAGACAGGCTGTTATACATGTGGACAGCTATTTCCGTGGGGAAAAAAATACCAAGATAGGATCTGCTTACTTAGAGACAGTCAAATGCTGAGGGACAGATGCTGTGCTGTCTTCAGAGCACACGGAATCCTCAGAGGTGTACTTCTCTCCAGGCTGTTCCCTTGGCATGGAGGCAGCTCATCAGAAGGGCAGTTGAGCTGATTTGGGATGTCTGTCTGGCAGCAGAAGCTGGTGGGAGCCTGTGCAGAGGGAGGAGAGAAAACATGGGTTGGAAATTGGATGTGGAGACAAGGTGCTGGAAGGAGGATAAGGAGTAGTGTTGGAGGTGTCAGTGCATGTGCTGCTGGCAGGTAGGACCATAACCAAAAGCTGGCAGAGCAGAGGAAGGCTTATGTGAAAGAGGCAACTAAGCAAGGGTGGAATGAGCTCCTGGCTCAGTCTCTGAGCCAGCAGCATCTGGCAGGACCAGATAAACATACTCTTACCCTGAAAGCTTAGCTGCAAGGTGCTGCTCCCACTCCTATCTCCCTGTCAGGCTGAGGGGTTTACAGCCCCAGGGAGAAGCCAGTGGGCTGTGGTGGCCTTGGACACTGCTTCAGCTTGCTTAGTGCAGGGGCAAAAACACTGCTGGAGCTGCATGAACAAACACAGCCACAGATTTCATATGCAAGCTTTAGGGTTTCAGCTTGGAGAGGATGCTTTGGTCCCAAGCTGCTTTGCCGGAACTTTTCCCAGGGGTGGATTCCACCACTCACTCCTGATGGAGCCAAACATCAGTAGCACTGGGTTGTGCAGCTGGGTGTGGATTTGCATTTTGTTGGATCATTTAGGTTGGAAAAATCCCTTAAGATTGAGTCCAACTGCTTTGTGAGGCAGGAAGGCCCAGGTGGGTCAAAACAAGGTGAACATGGGGTGAGAGGAGCATGTTGAGCTCCACTGTGACTTTGTGGTTCTGTCATCCCTCGCAGGCATTCCCAACCTGATCACAGCTGATATGATCAAAGAAGGAGCTGCAGTTATTGATGTGGGAATAACGAGAGTGCAGGACCCCATCACTGCCAAACCCAGGCTGGTTGGGGACGTGGATTTTGAAGGTATGGAAGGCTATGGCTGGTTTCTGGAGCACTGAACATCTATGATGGTGAGGAGGGGAGGAGAAGGTCCTGATTGATGTGACTGAGCAGATGCAGCCAGATACTTGTGTTCCCTTGCTTGCTGCATCCAATATTGTGCCATAAAATCAACTAGTTTGGAAAAGACCTTCAAGATCATCAAGTCCAACCGCTCCCCAGCAGTGCCAAGGCCACCACTAACCCCTGGCACTGAGGCCTCGGCTACACGGGCTGTGAACACTTGCAGGGACGGTGACTCCAGCCCTGCCCTGGGCAGCCTGTTCCAATGCCTGAGCACCCTCTGGGCAAGGAATTGTTCCTCAGCTCCAGCTAAACCTGCCCTGGGGCAGCTTGAGGCCGTTTCCTCTTGCCCTGTCACTTCTTCCTTGGGAGAAGAGACCAACCCCACCTCACTACAACCTCCTTTCTGGAGAGGTTGCAGAACTTACCCTCCAGCTGCTCTTTGTGGGCCTTGCTCACCATTGCAGTGCCCAACATGCTGTTGTGATGAGCCCTGTGCCTCCAGCTGCCTGGTGAGACACCAGGAACCTCCTCCTGGAAGAAAAAGAGAGGGAAAACCCTGAGATTTTGTTAGTACTTTACTATGGCTGCTCCCAAGGACACGTATGAAGCCCACATCTAGTGTTGGACTTGACATTTCTGTGCTAGAAATCCAGCTGTTAGACCTTGCTTCTTGCTTTTCCCCCAAGCTTGTCTTTGCAGTTAAGCTTGGTCAGTAGCAGGGATGGACAGTTTGGTGGGGGGGGAAAGCCCACCTTGAGAAACTCCTATTCCTTAGCCGGTCATAGAGTCACAGACTGGTTTGGGATGGAAAGGACCTTAAGATCCCCAAATTCCAACCCCCCTGCCGGTGTTAGACTGGTCACAGCTTGATGCTGGCCAGCCAGTTTGGGAAGCATTGCTGCTCCTGACTCCTGTGTCTTCCCTTCCTGCAGGGGTGAAGAAGAAAGCCAGCTACATCACCCCAGTCCCAGGGGGAGTTGGGCCCATGACTGTTGCCATGCTGATGAAGAACACCATCATCGCTGCCAAGAAGCTGTTGAAACCCAAAGAGCTGGAAGCATTAACAGTGTAACAGGGGACTCTCCTTAGCCCTGAGTGTGACATTCCAAACTGACTCCCAAGCAGGCCGAGAGAAAATGCAATATATTTATTGTATTGTAAGTGGAATTTCCTATTCTGGGGTCATAGATGCTTATTGGAAGCTGAAGCACATGCACGTTAGTTGTATGAAGGTGTGAATATCTACACTCCTGGCCTACTCGTGCTAGCAAAGCTGCTTTACAGTTAAGTGAGCTCTTCTAGGAGCTGGTCCTGCTCCTGCAAGGCTGGGATTGGGGTCCTAGGAGCTCAGGGTGGCGTTAGCAATCCCATGGGATGTAGAGCACTGCTCCTCAGTGCAAAAGCAACAGCTTTGTGGTCCTGTCCTCACAAAATGCTCAGTCTGCTGGTGTTTGACTCATGCTGAAAGTCTTCTCCTCAATGCTGGATGTTCAGTGTGAGTTAAGCTCTTCTGTAGGGGAAGTTACTTGAAGATAAAACGAAAAGCCATATCTCTCTTCTCAGCTTGTGCAGGGCCCTGGGCACTGGTGGATCTGTTGTAACATGTTATTAGTGTGCAGCTAAGCTGGATTTTGGTTTTGCTATTTGGATGGTGACTTTTTAAAGGCTTTTTTCTAACCAAAGAACAGGATAAGGCTGTTGGTGTGTTCCCTGGACACACAGGAGGCTGCCTGGGCTCTTGTAAAGTGTTGCAAGTACTTAGTGAATGATGCAGGCTGACTCTCAATAAAGTGTGGGAAGGCAAAAAACCCTCCTTGTGTCCTAGAATGATTCCTAAAGTCTTCCATTTCTCCCAGAAGCAGTTTATTAAAGCACTGGTGGGGTGAGCTCCCTCCAGAGCAGAGCCAGGTCTGGCTTCTCCTTTAGTTTAGCTGAGACACAACTGCTCCACACATCACCCACCTAGTGCAGAAGTAAGATCTTGCACTTTCATGCCTGAACAAAGCCCCTTCTGCTTCCTGACTGTTTCCTAACAGGACAGTATAAACTTCACCCTCCTACTGAGTAGTTTGCAAGCTGTAATTACCCACTGAACATTAACCTTACCTGAGGTTGCAGTGCCTTGGGCAGGATGGAAAACTACTTGCATGTGGTTATTCGTGGGCAGTGAGGTAAGTCTTGGATTCCTTCCTCTTCATTTAAGCCTTAGACTCCTTCTTCACGTATTCCCTGGAAAGACTGATCCCACTTTCCCAGAAGCAGGAAAGGTTTGTTGTGATGCTAAAGGGCTGTTGCTGGAGGCACCTGGGGAGAAAACTAACCTTCTGTAGGGAAAAAAAAAAGCTCTGAGAAAAACACTGGGCAAGGGGAAGTGAGGTTCAAGGGCTCTGCACCAGAGACACACAGAGAGACTCATTGAAATGAGGTTTATTGGGTTGTATCACTGATAAATACAAAATCACTACAGTGGTACAGCAACAAGGGGCTACGTCTGAGATGCTCCACTTTTTCATATACAAAAAGTATTAAACCACGTATGAACCATGTCAGATGCACCAATTCAGTCAAGCTGGATGCTGGAGTGGCTTCAGCTCTGCTTCAGGAACCATCTACCAGAGTCCACAAAGCCTTTCTGGGGGTATTTTGTAGTTGAGCTGATGGACTGGGTAAAGCAAATTAACCTGGTTGATTAAGATCTTAATTCTACCTGTACCACGCTTCAGCTACCACACAGGAGTACAAAAGTGCTACACAAGAGACACGATGTGCTCAAGTTGAAATAGTTCTTTAACGTCAGAGCTACGTGGCTCTTGCTTTAAGCAGTGCCAGGAGTAATACTGAGTTATTTATCTTGCCACATCTCGCCAGGAGGTGTACCTGAACCAGAACAAAAATGGCTATAAATAGGAAATTGCCTTCAAGTCTTTGCTGGACTCAGCTATTTACAGAGAGCCAGGATCTGCCCAAGGTTCAGACCAGTTGAGATATTTAACTGGGGTCCCAGCCCCCCCTGTATGACTGGTATAAATAGCAGGGAGGCTGTTTCTGCTCCGAGGAAGCACTGGGGCTCTGTGAGGTTTGAAATAGAGTTAAAACAAAGATTCCAAGGGTAGAGGAGATGGATTTGAGGGGGTTCTTCAGACCAGTGGTTCTGGCTTAGCCCATGGAAGGAAAAAACCCCTTTAAGAGCCTCATCATCACCCTGATGCTGCTGGATAAAGGGGGTGAGAGTTGGGCAGCACCAACCTGAGCTTGGTGCCTGCGCCAGCTCCTGACCTACTCCTTCCCTTCCCTTCCCAGAGGACCCGAAGGCAGCGGTGGGTGGGAAGAGCCCTTTGTGGAGCCAAAATGCCAAGAAGACCCAACAGGGAGGTGCTGGATGTGACCTGAAAGCGTGGGGAGGAGGGATGTGCCTCCAGTGGGATAACAGCTTGGGCATGTCTCGCTCCTGACCATCAGAGGAAGAGATAGAGCCAATACCAACCCCAGGGACAGGGATTGCTGCAGTGAGGACATGGGGATGGGCAACCAAACAGCTTCACTGCAGCCACCATTCCCATTTTCCAGCAGAAACCATTCCTGATGCCCTGTGGAAACCAAAGCCCCATTCTCTGCCCCGCTTTCCCTCTGTAGCCCCAGTGGTGTTGCCTTCAAGCAGCAACAGCCTTAAACCTGAGCTGCTTTTCCTCCTTTCCTTACCAGGCCACAGCTCCTTTCTGACGCTGCCAGACCTCCTCATCCACATCCACCCTGGAGCGAGCACAGCTGGGTCCTTCCTGCATCCCTGCTACATCGGGAATGCCATGCCACAGGAAGGGATTCCCATTGCCATGGTCTGGACTGGTGGCCTCCTGCCCACACAAAGCCTGATGCACCGTCCCCTTCATGGAACAAGACTCCCCAAGAGCCACGTCATGATTTCGGGATTGGGGAGCAGGGATGCACTCTCCTTCCTTCTCAAGCCATGCAAACCTCCTCCCCACCCCAAAACCCCCCCTCAAAAGCATCACCCCTTCCCCATCAGCCACGCACACATCCTGGATGCTCCCATATCATCAGCTTTTCCCCATATCATCAGCTTTCCCAGCCGTGGGGCGAGTAGAGGCCAAAATCTCTGATTCCACCTTTTCAGCCCCATTTCACCACCAGTGGGGATGCCTTTGCCCAGAAGAAAGAGAGGAAATTCCACACTGCATTTAACCCATGACACTAAAAGCTACCAGAGCAATGGACCCCTGGGGCCACCAGTCTCCTCCTTCTCACATAGAAAAATAAGCCCAATTTGCTTTATATATATATATGAATATAGATATATCTATATATATATATAAATGGCAGAGGGAGTGCAGCGTGGGGTTATAGCGTGGTCTCACTGCCCATGTCCCGAGGTTGTTTCTCAGTGTCAGTGTCCTCATAGTCTGACTCCATCTCTATCTTCACCTGGGGCACGGTGCAGATGGGGCTTCGGGAGTAGTTAAAGGCAGGAGATGATGGGCATGAAATCTTCAGGTGAAGTGTAATACTGAGGGGGAAGAGGAAACGGGGAGATGAGCCTCCAGGAATGAGTATTCCCATCCCCAAACTACCCCAGCACCCTCAGCAAAGGGCTCAGGATGATGCTACCACCAGTAAAACTTCATAGAGTGTTTTGCTGTTAATATGTACAATTTGCAGACTATACAACTGGAGTGGAGAATGATCCCAAGATTTCAGGATTCAGATGAACATCTCAATCCTAAAAATCCCTATGGCTGTTGCCCAAGTGGCATTTTTAGTGCTCTAAACCCTCTGGTGGCAGGCTTGGGATGCTCCATCCCACTCAGCCAACAACCCGATAGCTGGGGCCAGCAAGCAAAGCACCCCCAAACCAGAGGGATGTTGTGTAAATCATGCAATCAGTCTGCTAGAAGCACCATCCAGGGACCCCAAAACCGTTTCCCACAGTGGGTGCTGGTCCCCTGGGATGGGTGAGCAGGTTGGGGGACCCTGTTTGGTGCCATTTACCTGCGATCCAGGTCTGAACCATTCGGGGAGGAATCAGAACGCAAAGCTGCAGGTGGAGGACCTCTTTCCTGGGGGGACATGGAGGTGAAACACTTCCCAGGTGAGGAAGGAGCCCCCCAAAACCCCATTCATCACCCTCCCTCCAAGTGCCACCAGGTCCCGCATCCTCCGGGCGGTGGGAGTGAAGAAAAGCCCCTGGGAAATGCTGATTTGGGGATGATTAAGCAAAGAGAAAGGCCCGACCAGCCCCAGCAAGCAGCAGCTTGAGGACAGGGTCATGAATCATTGCACTCAGACTTGCTGGCACCACGATGCATCCCGGTACCGAGCTGGATCGAGCCACCCAGCTTTATCCTGCGTTGCTTTTGGTCGTGGCTGGCTTTGCACCAGTCTGATGGTTGAGGCTGATAGTTGAACACATTTCAGAGCTGGAGTAATGCCACCACAAGCCCTACATCCCTGATTTGGGAGGCTCAAACCCTTCCCAGATATATGTATATTATAAAACAGTAGATTAGCATTGGCTCATGGGGGAGATCCAGGAGAGTCCGGGCTTCCTGGCCACTGGAATACAAGTTGGTAGCAGCACTGAACCTGCTGCATCCTCCCAACCCTGCTTTGAACAGAGCAAACCCTCCTCCCTGCTCCAGCGGGATGGATCCAGGCTGAGTCTCTCAGTAGTGTTAGTGCCATCGGATCCCGGTGCGGGGGGTTAGGAAGCGACAGGGAATGCGGGAAGGGCTCCTGAGCTCTTTACTTACGGCTGAGGCAATGGGGACCCCCGTTTTGGGGCTGTGCTGGCAGGGGCTCCATAGGGATCGTAATGACTGAGGGAGGTGGGAACTGGGGAAAAAAGTGGGGAAATGAGGTGAAGGCAGTGGCTGGGTCAGCTCCAGGAGCACCCAAAGGGACCCAAAACCTCCAGGGGTGGGTGCATGAGGAGGAAGAGGCTTTGCCTTCCTCTGCCCAAACACACAGTGGTGGCTTTGACATCATACAATGGGTGCTGTTCCCTCAACCATGGGATTTGGGCTCTTCTTCCTAATGATTTAATTGTTTGCCATGATTTTCCAGCTTTCAGGATAGTTGAGGCATTCCCTGCAGCCTCTGGCCATCCCCTAAGCATCACTTAAAGCCCCTCAGTCAGCCTGTCCTATAAATACAGTGAAACATCTCCATGAATCAAAGACCTTCATCCCAGACCCACCAAACTGGAGGTTTTGGTGGGACCTTTGCCTCCATGGCTGGTCCAGGACGTCCTCCCCACCCATGGGAGCCCCTCACCCACCTCCTCATCGCTGCTG